TTCTTCAGGGAGGGGGCCCAGACTTCAACTGCTCTCGCTCCCTTTGTCACATGCATCCCCTTCCAAAGCTGGAATCCTGGGGAGCCCTGTCTCCAGTGGAAAGAGCTCACGATGACTTGAGGACCTCTGGTTGCTGTTGGGAAACCCATGCTAACATTGAGTGGTCTTGAAGAGGATGATCTGGAAGGGAGGTATCTGGACAGTGTGGTATCCCACTGCTGCCCTAGACCAGGAGGCAGAAGAGCAGCCTCAAGAGTTATTGCTGGTGGAGGATGGAGCAAGAACTTCCCCCTGCTCTGGGCTTGCTGAAGTCATTTCACACCTTTGTGGGTTGACCAGCAGTGATTTACATCATCCAGGGGGACTCCTGGTTGCTCATGGGGCTGGTTGTGCTGCTGTGGAGCAGCAGGCTACCAGCAGTCACCCAGGAACTGGCAGAGGGCTGAGCCTGGCACTGAAGGTGGCCAGCCTGGCACCAGCAAGGGCCAAAACAGCTGCTAAGAAGGGAGGGGGGGTGGTGTAGGATTGCTTCTACTTTTGTGTTAAATAACTACTGAATTCAGTGTTTGGTGGGGTGGAAAGCCACGTGTCCACTGTCAGAGATGTGACGAAAGGCACTTTAATGACCGTTTGCCAGGGAGTTCCTACTCTGGATTTATGGCCTGAGACAGCAAAGAGGAGGATGCTGGTTTCTGTTCCCTGCACCTCTGCAGGTCCATAAGCTCTCAAGGCACCTCTGTGGGTCAGGACAGAACACACTCTGTGTTTAGCTCCCTCCTTTCCACTTAGTAATCTTGCAAGGACCACAGCTTTCTGGGCTCAAAGCCCTTTTTGGGGTGGCTTGGTGCTCCTTCAGTCCCTGCTTCCCCAGAGGTGCCCTGCAACCTGTCCTGGGCACAAGCAATGTCCCCCTCACAGAGGACACCCTCCAGGTGTGTGCCTGAAGACACACGTGAGGTGGGAGACAGAGTGGATGTGGATTATGGGTGGGTTAATGGTCAGGACATACACAGGCAGCATCTGCTGTGGAGCCCTGAGAGCTGGAGGGAGGTGCTGCAGGGCTCAGCTTGGCTGTGCTGTGTTCTGGTAAAGACCAGCAGGGCTGCTGGCCACTGCTGCATCTGTGAGGAAAGGGGGTGGGAAGACCTACGCTGACTAGTAGGGGCCCACACACTCCAGAGGGCTCTCACCCAGCCCCACGGTGGATTTTTCCACAGCTTCCTGGGCTCTTGGGAAGGACAGTGCCTGTGCCTGCATCAGCCCTGTCATTATTTCAGACTTCTTGGGTTGGGCACTCTCAGATGCTGTTCCTGCTCTTCAGCAACCTCCAGAGATGATGAGCACGAGCCCTGGAAATCTGGCTGTGGCAGCCTCCTGCCAGTCCTGACCTCAAGACTCAGCCGTGTCTCTGTGCTCAGTACCATGAAGGATGTCTGCAACGCTCTTCACTAGTTGGTCCACCCCATGGTGGCCACCACCTGAGACACATATGACAAATCCAGCTGGGGTGTGCCTAGCTAGGCTGGATGAGGGATGTAATTTGTGTAATCTCCAGAGGAAGCTGTTAGCTTCCCACCACAGTCTCTCCAGCCATGGCAGCCTGTCCATGCACACCCACGTGTCTGTGGGAACATTCTACATGCATGTAGGAGTAGCCATGTTTTGGGAACCCTACCTACCAGCTGGGACAACTGGGGACTCAATTTCTGCTACACTGACCGTGCAGCATCCTGCCTTTGCTGTCTGTGATGCTTAGCTCCTGCTACCATCATGCTGTGTGATTGTTCACTGATGGCCCAGTGCTGATGGAGAGATCGTGCCCTCCATCCACAGAGGTCCGTGGGTCTCTCAGGTGTTTGTTTGGGTACCTTGGTGCCTGCTGGCATGGCAGGAATACTCCTGGCAGCGGCACATTGCAAGGGACTTCAGGCAGGAGAGTGCTGAGGTTAGTCTGTGACTTGCAATGCTCCTTAGGGCATGGTCAGTGGGGTTGAGTTGGGGTGTCTTATAATTAGGGATTTCCTTACAGAGTGAGGGTACATGCTGGGGAATTTGGATTTATGCTGGGGATGTATAATCTCACTTCTGAAGGCACATTTTGTCTCTGCAGATAGAAGCAGGTCTGAGTCTTCCCCAGTCACGTGCACGTGAGCAGCCCTGAGGGAGTGGAGGAAGGTGGGTCAGTGTTTTGGAGGAGCTGAGCATCAGAACTGATTGTGAGCATCTGTAGGAGGTCAGAAGTCTGGATCAGGATTCCAGTATCACAACAGGGAATGTTTTTCAGGGTTGACACCTGCACTGCACAGCAGATTTTCAGATTTTGTCCCTAAATTTGGGGTTCCCATCCTCTTCTCTAATCTTTAGAGATGTCCTGCTGATCTCTCCAGTGTTTCTTTCTGAGATAAGAGTACAGGGCTCATGTGCAGAGAAGGGAAGCAGAGCTAGGCTCTGCCTGGGGAGTCTGTCTTTGCATGAGCTATCTTATTATATCATGTCCTTAAATGTTAATGCAACAGACTCTGTCCTGCTTAGGAGAGAGGACAAACTCAAAACAACCGAGCAGCAGATCACGGGTGTAACCAGGTGGGTCTGGTCCAGGGGGTCTGGAGAGGGACACTGGTGGTGTAATTCTGCAGCAAGGCAGGCAGCTCTGAAGCAGAGGGGTGGGCAGGGTGATGCCAGCTCCTGTGGACACAAGACAATTTCCCAGCCCCCACTCAGGCAGCACAGACAACGTGCAAGCCCCAGCAGCCCAGGGTGGCTGGAGAGGCAGGCAGCCAGCTGGAGGAACCATGGAGGTGCTTTTCACACTCAAGAGGACAGAAGGCAGCCGCTGGTCAGCAACGGGGCTCGTTTATTAGCTCACAAGAGTGAACGACATACAGCTGCAGTAATGTCAGCAGAACCAAAGCTTTGCCCAGGGCCTGAGCTCTGACCGTGGGACTCCCTGCTGCACTGGGTGCCAGTGGGAGGGTCTGTGATGGAGAGGATGGATTTGGGAGATCCCCGAGCTGCAGGGAGCAAATTTGAGACTGTTTCTGGTGGCCTGTGTCCTCCTGATGCCATCATCCCACAAGGCTGATTTCTGTTCCCTACATGAGCTGCCCTTAAAACAAGGGAGGGCAAACAGAGCCCCCAGAATGGATATTCTGCATGGGGGATGTACCCAGGAACCAACAGCTTCTTCCAGGAGTGGGGCTCAGGGGCAGTGAGGGACCCAGACCCTACTTGCCCTCTCCCTGTCCAATGACTACAGACCGAAGTCCCCCACGTGTGCTGCAGTGTGTGTAGGTGGAAGGAGAGATGGAGGTGGAAGCAGCCCAGTGTTCCCTTGGGCACCTTGGCCAGGTACTGCTGAGTGACCTCAAGCAGAGCACATAGTTTTCTCCAGGGAGGAGTTTGGTTTTGGCTGCCTTGGGGTTCAGAGACCTTGTTAGACACTGGGGGTCAGATTGAAAGAGAGCCTGAGCATCCCCAGCTCCTGGTGTCATCTGGAAGTGGTGGTCCCACCCAGTCCATGAGGGTCCCAGTGGATGAAGTGGAGCCTTCCAAGAGGGAGGTGGTCCAGCCCTCAGGTGCACACATGGATACACTGCTTTTAACTCACTTCTTCCACTCCTCTGGCTGAAGGTATGGGGTAGACACTGCCCATTTCCATGGGTCTGTGGGACCTGCAGAGAACCCTGGAGGACAAGGCCTGAAGTCCCTGTGGGTGGCCATGTCTTTGCAGTTGTCCATGTTTTTGTGCCACAGAGCAATGGCTTTTGCTTGCTGAGGTGTCTCTGCCTTGAGAAGGCAGACTTGGCTCTGCTGCAGGCTCCCCCCGGCTTCTGATGCAGGATGAGAAGGAGGAAGGTCTCCCTGACCCATCTGAGCTGCTGGGGCTCTCTCCCAGGCAGTCCCTAGCAGAAGAAACACTCGCACAGGGGGTTTATCTCCTCCCATGGCCAGCCCTGAGTATCTGGAGCTCAGTCAGAGCCCTTCCAGGCGCGCGGCAGCTGGCAGAGCGGTGGCTGTTGCCCAGGCGTATATGATGGGGGTGAGGGGAGATGGGTTGTACTGGTGCTTTACGTGGAGCAGCCTGCTGTCACCTCGCTGGCCACCCAGTGCTGGGGCTGGCCCTCAGTGTGGGCCGTGGGGTTGTTCAGCGTGGCTACTCAGAGGAGCTTTATAAGTGAGACGTGTACGGTGGCGTGGGCAGGGAGGGGAAGAAGGTTATCTGGAGGCTGCTGCTGGCTGGATCTCGGCTCTCTGAAGTGAGCAGCACCTCACTGTCACTGAGGCAGGGACAATGCTCAGAGAAGCCCCTCTCCTTCCCTCTGGTGCCCACCCTTTGCTGGCAGGGGACGAGCGTCATGGAGGGGAAGCTGTAGCTGTCGAGGATGGGGTGCACTCCCAGGGAATCGGGTGTCTCAAAGATGTGGTCGATGTCAGAGAAGCTCACCAGAGCCTGGGTGGAGTCATAGGAGCTTTTCTCTATGTCACCGACCCCGCAGGACTGGGAGTAGCTCCCCTTGTCCTGGCCCTTCTGCCTCAGCAGGCGGAGGTCATCTCTGAAGTGGGGGTTGAAGAGCAGGTAGAGCAAGGGGTTCAGGCAGGCGGGCAGGGGCAGGACCACAAGAAGGACGGATTTGATGACCTCTGGGGTGATGAGGAAGAGGCTGAGTGTGGAGGAGAAGGTGAGGAAGGCCACTGGGCAGTAGAGGAGGCAGTTGGTGAAGATCAGCCAGGCCACGTGCTTGACCATGGCGCAGTCCCAGACGGCGCCGAACTCCCCCTTCAGCAAACTGCAGTAGAGTCGGATGTAGGTGCCCGTGATGGTCAGGAAGCAGAGCATGTTGGTCATCACTAAGGCCACGGTGAAGCCCAGGGTGGCGGGATTCCCATCCGGGATGGGGTATGGGAGGCAGAGAGGGGATGCTCCGTACTCCCCGATGGAGAAGAGAGGCAGAACGGCAGCCACGGAGGACAGCAACAGGCAGCAAAGGGCAGCAGCCTTCACCTTGCCCAGGGAAGGTGACTTGCCGTAGCCCCGCACGCAGGAGGCCGAAATGCTGCACTGCACGGCGGCCAGCCTGGGAGGCAAACACGGAGAGGAAGCCGGTCACCCTGCAGCCGGCGCCCGTCTCCCACCTGGCCCCGAAGCGGGCAAAGCGGCCGTAGGTGAGGGCGTCGAGCAGAGCCAGCATGCTGCAGGACACCCCCGTCAGCAGGTTGGCCCCCGCGATGCAGCCCACGAGGAACTTGACTGGAGACAGGTAGCTGGGGGAGGCAAAGACGGCCAGAATGACCACCCCGTTGCAGAGCACCGAGACCAGGACGATGGCCCAGACCCCCAGGCGGATCATCCAGCTCTCAAACAAGTGATCACAAGGCTTGAAGGGACCTGGAAGAGAACAAACCCCAGAGTTATACCCGGGCTATACCTCTTAGCTCTCGTGGTGCTGCTCGAAGCAGAGGCCGAGGCTGAGACCTTTCCTGGCCCCGCCAGCCCTGGGAATGCTAAAGGCTGGAAAAGAGCACACAGCATTGCCTGCCCTCTTCCGCAGCTGCCTCTTGGCTCTGGCCCTGCATTCCTGTCCCCACACCTCTGTCCCCACGCCAGGGTGCCTCAGGCAGCCTCTCAGTTCTTGTCTAGGCAAAAATGAGGTGCAGGGAGAGGTCACACATGATATGTGACAGATAGCAAACTTATCAGAGCTCCTAAAGTGTAAGAAGGTCAGGGGCCTGGCACCCTTGGCACCCCATCACTGTATGCATGGCAAAGCCTTTTTGCTCTCCTCTGCCACCTTCAGTGGGGCAGAGTCTGAGCTCCAGGTAGGTCTTCATCCAAAGGAACTAATGCTCATTTCTGTGGGACTCCAGACCCAGCAGGCTTCTGGTGTCAGCCTGGCATTTGGGCCACTCTGCTATCAGCTGCTCCTTCTCACGTACCCCTGGGACCTTGGAGTTAGTGATGTGGAGACGTGGGAGAGATGGGAGGGTGCTGCATCCTGCTCTGACATTGCCACCCCCTGCCTACGTACTCAGGACCTTGGCGAAGTCGTGTCTTCTTGCTTCTGCAAGAATGACCTCTGCATGGAGGGGTGGCCGAGATGTTGGGGTGTTAGAGCAGGAGGGAGAGGCAGCAGGTGGAGAGGAAGTGAGGGAGGGAGCTGGAGTGGCAGGGAAGGGACAGAGACACCCGGCCAAGGAGAACGTGGGAGGATGTCAGGAGAAAGAATGGTGGAGGATGGACAAAGGGAAAAGGAAGAGTGAGTAAGGGAAGGTCATGGAGGGGTAAAAAGGAGGCTGATGGTGGATGCTGTTTCCCAAAGGAAAAAGAAGAGAGGGGAAAGAGGTTATGCAATGACAGGCTGCCTGTGGGAGGGATTTGGATGTCACAGTGGGGACTCAGGCTGGGAGCTCAGCAAAACCAGAGACAGGATGGGCCAATTTTTAGGCAATAGAAAGCGAATGTCATTAGAGGAAGCTGAGAATTCTTGTTCAGCTCCATGGAGGTGAAGGTCTCTGGGTGGCTTTCCACAGGGACCAGCACCTCTGTGCCCAGGCAGCATGGTGTAACCTCTGCTAAATCTTGTTCCTTCTTGTCTCTTTTGCAGCAAGCTCAGTGGGACAGCTGGTGACAAATCCATCCCTGCCAGTGTCCCACAGATGCCTGGATAGAGCCACCCCTCTCCAGCCTCCAGCTGTGCTCCTGTAGCACACTACTGAGGAGGCAACTTCCTTGTGTCCCAGCCAGCCCGTGCTCATTGGAAAGATTTTGGGGGAAGTAAGGAGAAAGTGGCTGGGTGCAGTCCAGGACCTTCCTTCTCTCCCTTTCTCAGGGCACAGTAACGTACCCCTGCAGGCTGCAGTGCTGCAGGTATGATCAGGAGACCAAGGACAAGGTCTTGTCATGCAGTATGCTTGGCTCACTGGGACAAAGCAAAGTCTGAGCCTTGCAAGGGAACAGGAATTTCTTCAGACCCAGGGTGACAAGCTCTTCAATCCTGAATTGGTGGATGGGAGAGCCTGTGATACTGGGATGCCTGGTCAGGGACGCTGTGACCTTGTCCTCTCCTCGTAGGAGGGCAGCTACACCCAGGTGGGAGAAGGAAGCTCCCCTCTTGCCCTGGTTTGGCCAAAGCCCAGGGACTCAGGCTTGTGATCTGCAGGGTTGTGAGGCACTGCAGGAAGGGTCACGGCATCCTGGGGATTTAGAGAAGCTCAACTTGTACAAAGGCTTCTCCTTGGCTGCTCACCGGGGCTCGGCGTGCACTGAATGGTGGGGTGCAGCTTTGATTCCTCAAGGTCCAGCTGGAGATCATCTGCATCTAGGTCATCTGGGGAGAAAACAATGAGACACGCTGATCAGAGGAGGATGAGCAGGGCCACCAGGGCTAGCTGGGCCAGAAGCTTTTCCTTCTGCCTGTCCTCAGCACAGACAGTCCAAAGTAGTTGCTGGTGTCCAGTTTGTCCCCTGCAGTCGCTGCTGTAGAGGGAGAAGGTCTTGTAAACATTGGTGGGCTGCAATTTGACCAACCACTCTGTTTTTAGGTTACTCCCAACATTTGAAGTGCAGGAGCCCCAGATCTTGTGTGACTGCAGATCCCTCCTCCCAGCACGCTTCATTCAAAATGCAGAAATACTCTGGCCTGTGTGGTTTCAGAAACAAAGCCTTCAAATGCATCTCCTAAATGGCAGTTTTCTGGGCAGGCCTTGTCCACTGTTAGCTCATCAACAAGGACTTTGGAGCTTTGTTCAAAGAGAGCCATTAGCCTCTACTTGCAGCACAACTTCTTCGTCAGCAACCACCACCACCAAACAGCTCAGAAGCAAAGAGACAAGAGAAGCCCAAATTTATTGTTTTGTTTTATGTCTTATGTTTTCTTGTGACTGCGGTGCCCTGTTTTTAACCCTGGAGGTTCCCAGTCCTGGACTGGTTAATGGCAGACTGATTGCTCATGCCTGCAGACTCAGGATCCGTGGGGTTTGTGCCGTGCCCTCAGAGCCCAGCCTCAGGGCCAGCATCTCCATCTCACTGGCTACTGCACCCTGAGCTGGGAGTGGGCTCTCTGAGGGTTGGGCAGAGACACCCTGGCTGAAGGAGAAGCTGCTGGAAGAGAATGGGACTGAGACCTCAGCTGTTTTTTCAGTGGCCTGTAGGTGTGGGTCATCACCAAGGAGAATGGCATCCCCTTAATCTGCTCCAAGACATGCTTCTCAGCTTTGTTCCTTGTTCCCCTTCCCAGACCCACACTGAGTCACAGCTCTGGGACACAGTGAGGACAGCTGCTGTCCTGCTGCACCGTCCCCACCCCTGGCACCAGCACGGCCCTCTGCTCCCAGTGGAGATCTTTGGAGGGTTTTCTCTGGGTGGAAGGAAAGGGAAAGGATGTGGTTTTTTTGGCTTGCCACAGCCCAATAACCAGGGAGCTGGATTTGATCTATGGCTGTGGGAGGAACTCTCCCTTGGATGACAAGGAGTGATGCTGCTGCCCAGGTGGGTACCTGGCAGCTCAGATGCTGGCCAGGAGGGCAGGTTTCCACAGTGCTGAACACACGGCTAGCCTAAGTGGGACTGAGTTGCCTGATCTGTTTAGAAATGGTGCCTCTCATGGGGTCTGCTCGCCTCCTGTGTTTGAAAATACGACGGGGATTATTTGATTAAAGATTGATGACAAATAACGTGCTATCTTTAGTGCCTCCTGACAAGCATTGTGGCTTTCTGGGCTTCAGTGAGCTTTGGAAAAAAAAAAAAAAGTGCCATTTTAAAAATCTGTCTGTGTAAGAGCTGAAATATTACTGCTTCTTTGGAGTCTGGCACAAAAACACTCACAGTGGGATGGAAAAATATTTCCTCCTTGTATTTTATAGTCTTATAAATCTCCAGTGTCTTTTCCACCCGCAGAGTGGAAGCTGTGTTCCCAAATCAATGCAGAGACTTGCACTTTCTGTGCCCCCCTGCCACCCAACCCCTGGGGATGCTGGAGTGCAATCTGCCCCCATCTCTTTGCTCTCCAGAGGGCCAGAATGCACAAATTTTTAAGCACAGATTAAACATTTGCATGAAGTGAAGGACTGACCCTGTGTTTTGCCTGGACTACTGAGCTAGCTGGGAATGGCAAAGCAATCCTTGGCCAGCCCAGCAGGATGCAGAGCAGAACATGGACCTCTCTCTGTTGGAAAGCAGCTCTTCCCTCAGCCTGGGAACTGCAGAGGGAGGACAGTGGCAGTTGTGTTCTAGCTGGGCACACTGCACTGCTTTTGAGTAGCTCTTATTTATTTGAACTTACAGTAAGGTGCATCCACTTTGGGGCCTTGAGGAAAAAGACACTTCAGCCGTAGTGCCCTTTTTGTGGAGAATGGTTTCCAGCTGGCTGTGCCAACACCAAGGTGTGAGGAAGAGGAGAGAACTGATGGAGAAGGGGTAGAACAAAACACTCAGCTGGATGCATCTTCCCCTTTTGTACTGTCTGCCTTAGCCAGGGCAGTGGCCATGGGCAGGGCAGTCTGCAGGTCATTGCTGTCCCCTCAGAATTAGGGTATGGGTGGCTGCAAGGGGCCTGGGCAGGAGCTTTTTGGGGGGCTTGTGTGGCCTCCTTGAATGACAGAAGCAGGAAAAGCATAGCTCTAAGGACCTTTTGGGGTTTATTTTGTGGTTGCAAAAGTTAATTTGTCAGCTCTCCCAGCCAGCAGAGGTGCTGGGCCAGGTAGAGCAGTGGCCTGTTGTCCAGGACAAGCATACAAGTGTGCCCTCTGATTATAATCCAAAGAGGCATATGCCAAGCACCAAAAATTTTGGAAATGGGACCTACAATATCTGTCATGATAAGGAGACAGAGTGATGAGACATGCACTAACCACACTCCTTTGGGCCTTGGGTGGCTGTTACTTGGCTGTGAATGGACACAAGTGGGTGGTGTCCAGGGGATTCCTGAGCACCTGGGTCCCTGGGAGGATGGAAGAGAGCAGAGCTGGTCCTGGGCTCTGTGGCACCACGTGCACCCTGTGGCTGGGGTTGGAGGGTTCCCTGGGTGCTGGGCTCAGCTGAGGAATGGGTGCTGGATGCAGGAGCAGGGCATGCTGTGGGAGGCAGTGGCCTGGCTGCTGGAGCAGGGCTGTCCCTTCCCCCTGTGTGGCTGTCTGGGACAAGCTGCCTTTCATCATCCAGCTGTGAGGTTCTGCAGGCTCCTTGGTAAAGGGCTGCTCAGCCCCTTGCTGGCAGCACCACGTGAGGCTGAGGGGCTGTGGCTATCTGGAAGTGTGCCTCAGCCCTCCCAAATTCTCCCACAGCATCCAAGTGCCCTGACGAGCCTGGCTCTCGACTGCAGGGATAGAGCCCCAAGTTATTTTCTCTTAACAAGACCACTTTATCTCTTGCGTGGAAGGAATGTTTGGGAGCTTTTTTCCTCTTTAATGAGGAAGTGTTACAAGTTCCACATAACACGGCTAAATACCATTGGTGGCCATCAGAAAGGAAGCACTGGGAACAGAAATAAAGCAACAGTTAATTAAATAAAATAGCAATATCACAAAGCCCTCATGGTCAAGAGCAGACCATGCACTGCTGAGTGGTGAGGAGAGTCCCCAGCAAAAGCTGCACGGTGAGGAAGGACGTTGTTGTGCATTTGACATCTGCACCTCTGTGGTTGGGTGTTTCAAGACAAACCCAGGGCTTTAATGTCTGAAAATGTGAACCTCTGTGAGCTGCTAATAAGCTGGTATTTTGGACCAGCACTTCCCTCTGGTCCTAGTATCTCATAATCCATGGAGCTGAGACCAGCTTGGCCTGGGAGCCTGTGATAGGTGTGGTCTGCTGGCAGGGTTAGGAGAGCATCCTTTGAGACACCAGGGGCTTTGGTGCCCAGCAGGAGCAGGTCTGCAGGCAGTACTGTGGGCCCTGGCCACAAACCACACGCTGCATTTTGCTGAGCAAACACCCCAACTCTATGCAGGAGGGTTTTAGAGCACAGGGTGCGTTGGTGATGGAAAAACTGACCCAGCTGAGGAGAAATTCCTGCAGCAACGACCGTCTCACGCGGCTCCTCCCTGCTGTCTGCCCAGTGCAGCCTCCAAATCTACCACATCCTGCTGGTGGGAATCACACTTCCTAGCCTCTGCCTGGACTTCCTACATTGCCAAAGCTTATGCTCAGTCCCTGAAGGACTGGGGCAGGGCAGATGGCAGGACTAGGGATGCAGGGCTCGTGACTCACTCCCTGGCTGGGTCATAAAGTGTCTGGGTCATCCTGCCTCCCATCACTGCTGTGACAGAGAATCCAACAGCTCTGGGTCAGTATCTGTCTCCAGATCTATGCTGCCTGCTCAGGATGCAGGAGATCTGCAGAGCCCCTGGTTGTGGCTGGGTGCACGGTGCTTCTGGGGGCAGGTGAGCCAAACACTCCCCAGGGACTCAGCCCTCTCCTGGCTCCCCCGGGCACACAGCAGGATGGGTCAGATCCCCAAAGTCCATGTGCCCTCTGTACTTGCACAGACCTATAAACAGACACAGCCCCCAGCTGTGTCCTGAAATGCTGTGTCCTTTCTGCAGCAGTGGGGCTCAGGCTTTTCTTCACCTTATTCTGAGATTCCTTTGCAAAGGGATCACACCCACGTTCTGCCTGGAGCTGCTGCTGTGAGTCTGAGTGCAGGTGGGTGCTCTGCACACTCTGCTCCTGGCCTCCTGCAGCGTTCAGGGAGGGCTGTGCAGGAGTTAATTTTGTTGGACAGAATAAATTGGCTCTTGAACAGAAAGCTCTGCTCATCTGTGACTGGAGCCACTCCTGCCCTGCACAGCCTGGCCCCCGTGCTGAGCTCCTCACAGCCCACAAGTGTGGCCTTTTGCTCACACCTCCCCCTGACCTCCACACCAAGGGCTGTGCACAGAGGTGGCACACACACGGGTCTCCACCCCCAGCCAGCTGCACATCCCAGTTCTCTGAGTTCATTCTCTTATTCAGGTTAATCACAGGGTCCATATGTTGTAGCAACAGGGACTGATGTCCTGCCAAGGGCTCTGTGCTGCCCAGAAATCTAACGACCAAGCCCAGAAGCTGTCCCATGTGACCTCAGCCACCTTGCAGTGGCGTGGTAGCCTCCATCTGCAGTCAGCAAGGCCAAGCTAGTGAATGTGTCCGTTCTGCTGAGGACCACCAGGTCTTTCTGTTAGATTGGGAAGGTTGGGATGCACCAGATCAGCTCTTTCTCCAACGCAGTGACACACATTGAAGCGCATTCACAGCAGCGTGCCACCAGAGCTGGAGAAGGATCAGCCTGTCCCTGAGGCAGGTGTAACTCCATGGCTGGCCGTGGCACCACTCCTGCAAACGCAGGAGCACATCCTCACTTGCAGCTCTCCCCATGGACCGGTCACCGTTCAGCCCAGTTTACTCACAGTGATTGTCAGCATGACCTGGAAACAATTCCATGGTCCTCTTGTGGGGATCCTCCTCGTCAGGGCTCATGTATTCTGCCTCCCACTGGTTGGACATCTTGAAGAGGCTGCTGCAGCTTCCATAGGCACAGCACTGGTAGGCGTAAGGGACCTCGAGGACTCTGCAGGGTGGGAAAGCAGAACTTTCAGGTGTGCCACCTCCATGGCCTGACTCTCCACTGCCTTGCACTATGGCTTCATTTCCACATGTGACAAAGGCCACTCTGTTACACTGGAGCAGGACGTTGCTCTGGTGAAGGGCTCATGTAGGGCAGTGTGGACCCAAGTCACCCTGTGGTGTCTCTGCACTGCCCCACTTTTGGTGCTTAAGTGCAGTTTGGAGATTGCACTAAAGTTCCCAGATAAGTCCCAAAAACTTTTCTGCAGTTCTCCCTAGACTGAATTAGCTTCTCTTGCCCATGCCCTCTGGCAATGTGCCATGTGAGTTCATTTTGCAGCTCAAGACCCTTTTCTTGTTGGACATCCTTTCTTTTGTTCAAGGTGAGAAGCTTCCTGCAAAGCTTGAACAAGGGTAATGTCCCCCTTGCTTGATGTTGCAGGTTGGAGAGACACCTCCATTTCCACGAGTGTGGCTCATCCCTGCTAGCTCACACAGGGAAATCTCAGTGCCTCAAGTGGAGCAAGTTATTGTCATAAGTCTGCTTTCTACTTGAAAATGGCATTGTTGGTTGTTAATTATAGCATGTGCTACATGGTTAATTAAACAGCCGCTGGACATCATCTGGATGCAGTACCAGCCTGTCAGGCAGCAGCAGACTCCTGCTTCTTTGCTGCAAGTCAGGAAGGCTGCTGCTGATGGCAAAGGACCCTCAGGTTTTCCAGACAATTAAGGACTTCTGACAAGATCAGTAAATATGGTGAAACTCTATATTCTAAAAATATGCTTTTGTTTTAAGTTCCCAAACATTCCTGGCTCGGTGCTGGGAGGCTGTGGAAACTCTGTATACACGCTTGCTTCCTGTTATAAACTCCAAATTAAATCCTATTACTGATAGGTGGGAGGGAGGTACAGATCCTCCCAGGATGGCTAACAACTGCTCTCAGATGATTCCTCCAGACATGTGCCCCCAGAATAAGACTACTTAATGGCAGTACCCCAAGCTGTAGGAAATGTCAATGGTCCACCCCCTGGCGTGGCTCAGTGAGCCACTCCTGCAGACTCAGTCTCTCTGGTACGAACCCTAACCAGCTCCACTGACCTCAAAGGAATTAGTGTAGAGGAGGAGCACCCCAGAAGTGCTGAACTTGACCCACTCTGCACAAGGGACTGACACCTTGGAAAGCCCTCTAGAATCTTCTGGGATCCCCTGCCATTTGTAAACGAGCCACACAGCAGATCCCAGGTATGATGAGTCCAAAAAGCCAGAAGAGAAAGCCCTGTAGGCACCACTGCTGAGGCAGATCAAAGCAAGAGCTCCACACTTTTCATGAGACCTCAGCTATTAAGCCTGATGTTGGTACAGTGGCCTGTGACCCCAGCAGTGGGTGTCTAAATCTGAGGAGCTCCAGCCCTGGGAACCTGTGCTGGGTGAATGGGAGCATCAGCTCATGCACCCTTGGCTTCAAGGGAACTCTTTGAGGGACCCAACCAAAAGAAGGCTTCACCTCAGGGGAATTGGAGTCATCTGGACCATGGGTCCCTCAGTTTGAGGGCAAGTGCTACGCTGGAGACCCACCACTGAGGGAGGGTGAGGAGACCCAGCGCCCGCGGCGCAGCACCGTGCTCTGAGCCTCCTGCAGCCTCCTCCTGCTCAGCCTGACCCCTCCAGGCTCCTCATTAATCCAGAGCAGACAGGACACGGCCACACAGACAGAGTTTACTGAGGGAAAGCTGGATGTCATTAGCTAGGACTGGCTTCTGGGAATGTTTTCCATTGAGAGAAGCCCTGAGCTGGGACTGCTCCACGCTTCCCACTTGTGTGTGCGTGGGGTGGGGGCGGTGGCCCGGGGCACAGCACCCTCCCCCGTGGAGGGCTGGAGAAGATGAGGTGTGTTAGCAGCAGATGGAGCTTCCTCAACCTATCGGCCTGCAGGGCTGGAGGAAAGCTGGGATGCAGAGGGAGAGCAGGAGGCTGGTTGCTGTAAGCAAATACAGGCTGTGTTGAGAGGCAGAAGTGAACGAGCCAACCCCACCAGTACCTAATTTTGGGAAAGCTCTCCTTGGTGAAGGGCTCAGAGAGAGCCGGGTTGCCTTGGAGCTTCAGATGGGTCAGTCCACCCAAACCATCCAGAGGCAGCGCGACCAGCCGGTTATCAGTCAAGTCCCTGATGAAGGGAAAGCAGAGAGGGAGACTGAGGTCAGGGTTTTGGTGCTGGTGGTGCCTGAGCCAAGCAGAGGCTTGGAGAGCCCTGCTGCTGGCACGGGGCTGGGTCCTGCACGGGCACCAGGACCCTCTGCAGATAAATGGGGTGATACTGCAATCCCTGGGGAAAAGGAGGGGCAATGCCCACGCTGAAAGCTCTGGGTGGTGTCCACCTCCACACATCTCTTCCCCCACCACTTCCCCCATAACATCAGGTATGACTGCAGGTCCCAGCCCATAAACACCCAGGAGTCATAGCAAGGGGGTGGAGGGCTGGGGACCCCTCCAGAACCAGCAAAAATGGTCTGCAGTGACTCTTGCTGAAACAGTCTGTGATGCTGATCTTTCATAAAGACATCTAAAGTAGCTATGAAAGCATCAGAAAGTGGAGATTTAAGTGTTGAGGGTGGGAGCAGCTGGAAGGTGGCCCCGTCTGTATTTCATCATCCCTTTATCACTGATAGGAAACCTTGGGATTTTGTCTGCTGGGACATGGAGTGGGACATGGACCTCAGCACTGCAGATACCTGCTGCCCATGGCCCAGTGAAAGAAGCATCATGGCAACTTACAGCTTGGTGAGCGAGTGCAGGGTCACAAAGGCTTCAGGGTGAATAAACTTGATGTAGTTCCAGCTCAGGTCTCTGCAAGGCAAGGACATGCCAGTGAGAGGGGTGCAGAGCAGGGCAGAGGAGCTGCTGGCAGTGGCTTGGCCAAGGGCTTTGGTGTGAGCAAAGTGTGGGACCTGCAGCCCCTTGGTCAGCACCAAGCTCTGTCTCATTGCAGCTCCCTGGAGATGAATATATTTGGGTCTATAGACAGGTGGTTTCTAGCAGAGGACACAAGAGGTTGCCTTGCAAGACCTCCTCCACTGAGACCAATGAGAAAGGTTTCTTTGTGGGTTCATTTCTGCAGATTTGGGAATTTTATGCTAGCATGCTAAACCCCAGAGCAGTAGATAGGTTATCCCTTTGTGCCAGAGCACCCCTGATGTGGTCATAGTGCTAGGTGCCCAGGCAAGAGCAGATAAGGTCAGGGACTGCATCAAAGGGGAACCAAGGTCATCTTAGAGCATCTCTCTCCTGTACTTGGATTCACTGAGGCTCCTCAGATGCTCTGCTTCCATCCCAGCTGGAGGGCTCAACTCCCTCTGTCATCAGCAGAGAGGAACTAGCATATCAGGAAGCATTTCTTCTCCTCAGGCTGACTATATGAGCAAACTCCTACCTGTATCTTCACCTCTCCAGCTCCGAAGGGCGCTGGGGGTGCCTGCCCAGATGTCTGGCACGTTGCAGATGGGGACACACAGACACCCAGAACGTACTCAAAGGTGAGTGTTGCAGCTTGCACACTCAGCTGCACGTTTGTGTGGCTGTGGCATGGCAGCAGCATGCTCATAGCTGCATGTTTGCCTGTGGTGTTATGTGAGTGTTCCTGCACAGTCAGAAACACGGTGCACGTGGCACTCATGGGGTCTCTAGGGATGCTGGCCTATGAAGTGACACTCAAATTGCTGCACCATGAGAAAAAGTGACTCAGTTCCCTTCCTAACAGAGCAGTAAAGAAAGCTGACCAGCACTTTCAGGGCTCTTTCCAAATATCATGGGGAGAATGATGCCCTGCAGAGCCTTTCCAGCTTCTCAAGGGTGACAAGCACTGCAGTGGGCTGTCTGCTGCCAGG